TCCACTCTGTCCTCTAGGGGCGCTGTGGGTCAGAATGGACTCCAGGCAGTGGGTGTGGTTTGGGCTTTGCTTCTGTGAAGACTGACAGCCTTGGAGACCCTCTGGGGGCAGCTCCACTCCGTGTTGTGTGTGTGTGTGTGTGTGTGTGTGTGTTGGGAGGGGAATCAAACAGTGCCATAGAACCCTTCCGACTCATAGCGACCTGGATCCGGTTTCCAAGGCAGTGAATCTTTATGGAAGTAGATTGCCTGGTAGTCCTTTCACGTAGCAGGTGGTGGGTTTGAACCACCAACCTTCTGGTTAGCAGTCAAATGCCTTAGCACTGCACCACCAGAGCCTGACTCTGCCTATAGGCTCATTGTATGTCGGAATTAACTCAATGGAAGTGGGGTTTTTGGAGTCTTTACAGGACCAGATTGCCACGTTTTTCTCCTGAAGAGCTGCTGCCTGGTTTCAATGCTCTAACCTTTAGGTTGGCAGCGGAGCGCTTAACTGTTGTGCCACCACGGTTCTTTAGAGCTGTGGTAGAGAACCGTAAGCAACTCCCTCAGCTCTTATGGGCTCTGGGGCCAGTCCTAAGGAGGTGGCTTTGCTCTGGATTGGTGCTGCCAGAAGCGAGTCAGTCTCTGATTGGGCATTTTAATGAGTCTCATCCAGAAGGCGGGACCGTTGGGCAAGGCCACGGAGGTGGTTGGTCCAGCAGAGCTGTCACTCCCATCGGGCAGGCCAGTGGTGTGTGTGGGCGTGGGCGTGTGTGGCGGGGGAGGTAGTGTCGGTTGGTGCTGTGGTCGGACAACGTTCTCGTCGTCTCCTGTGTTCAGACACGACCGTCGAGCGGTCCTGTGATGCCTTAGCCACGCCGGGCACAGTGGCCAGGGGTGACCTAGGTGCTTTGTGATCGGTGCCCAGCGCCCACACAGGGCTGCAGGACTCCAGTCCCACAGGGTAGCCCTGCGTGGCAGAACTCAGAGGCAGGGACCCCGAGCAGACACATGGATCTGTTTGATTTCTGTTGTGGGCTCCCTCAGGAAACCCGGGTGCCAGGCACCGCCTCAGAAGGCAAGCACTGCTCTACTATTTGCTGTCAGTCTTGACAGCCGGCCTGGCATCTGGCGGGAGTGTCCCAGGCCCGGTCTGCGTTCCGACAGCCCGTGAGAAACGTTACAGGCCTATTTTACAAACGGGGAAGCTGGGGCTCCAGAGGTCCCCGGCTGTCTTGTTTCCGTAATGGATCTGAGAGGCTGAGGTGCCTCAGTGACCCACGGGGGCTGCCCTGGCCCTGCCCCTCCTAGTGCTGTCCTCACTCTGCCGGGGCACCCACACCACGGCAGCCAGCAGGTCCGTCTGCTACTCTCTTAACCTTTCCTTTGATCGTCACCTCCTCCGGGAAGCCCTCTAGGCTGCACAGGCAGAATGGTCCAGCCCGTCCTGCCTGCACTGCGAGCAGATCTGCTTCGCCACCTCCTCTAGCGCACAGTGATCGTTCCCAGGTCCCTGCAGGCGGGTGGGTTTGGGGTGATTTGGGTGGGGCTCTGGGGCCCGGTGAAACAGGTCCGGGAAGGCCCGGGGACAAGGACCTAGGCAGACAGGTGCTTCTGTTGACACAGCAGCTTAAGAGTGTGGTCCAGGGCTGGGAACAGAGCTGCACCCACCCACCGGGCGTCTGGGGTGGGGAGGACACCCAGGTGTTGCTGCGCTCCGAGCACCTGCAGCCGCCACCCCTGCCTGAAGCTGCAAGAGCTGCTGGAAGACCACTGGAGTCCCGGAACCCTGGTGCGCCTCCTGGGAAGCAGGCGCAAGAGGCAAAAACGCGGGACTGGCGGGGCCGGGCCGTGTCCTAGTTTGCAAAGCGGGCCTTACGATCCGGTTTTGCCACCAGAGCCCCCCGTGGGGTCCCAGAGCCGACTCCGCCTCCTCTCCTGGAGAGACGTGGAAGCCGGGGCTTGGCCCAGACCACCCGAGGAAGGAAGGGTTCAGAGTTCAATACTGTATGGGGCCCTCCTGCATTCTGGGGTCACACGAGATGAAGGAGCCTGTGAATCGCTGGGGATGAGCCTCATGGCTCAAGTGGGCCCCAGCGCCTTCGGATGCTCCTTGCCCGAGCCTGCGTGGCCTGGAGCGCCGGGCCTTTCCCTTTGGCCTGGGGAGGACACGGAGGGTTCATATGGGCCCTGGGATGATGTGTGGCAGTGAGGCCCGGATCTCCGCCACAGCAGGAATTCCTCCTTGACGCCCGGAGGCGGGGAGGGTAGGGACGCTCGGGCGGGATTCGCGCGGTGACCCCGGGTCCACGCCGAGGCAAGCTAATTCCTCCTCCGGCCTGCGCTGCTCCGCTGCCGGAGGACCCAGCGAACTAGTTCCCACCGGGCCGGACCCGGGAACTACATTTCCCGGCATGCATTCGCAGCCCTCCAGGAACGAAGCCAGTGGCGGAAGAGACCTCGTTCGGAAAGTGTGCGTCATTTCCTGTGCGCTACTGGGCCCACGTTTTGTGGTCGTGAGTGGAGGGCCGGAGCAGAGTCCGATTTCCGGTTCCGCGCGACGGAAGTGACGCTATTGTAGCGGGCCGCGGAGCCGAGGTCTCCATGAGCCGTGTCTTGTGTGCACCCGCGGCCGGGTGAGCTCCGCGCAGTCTCGACCGGGGTGAGGGCGGGAGCCGGCGGGAAGACTGGCCGAACGCTCACTGCTTTCTCTCTTCTAGGGCCGCCCGGTCGCTCAGGCTCGTGCGCTGGGGCTCGCAAAGCCTGCACTCGCAGTCCAGTGGCCGGGCTCGGGCCCAGCCTGTGGCCGAGGGGGAGGAAGAGGACCTTTCCCGGCCCATTCAGTTTTCTTCCAGCAGAGCCTACCCGTCCCACTGGTTGGTGGCGCATTCCCTGGGAAGCGTGCAGCAGCGACCCTGGTGGAAGGTGTTGCCCCTGAGCCTCACCGTCCTGGCTCTGATCGTCTGGTGCTTCCTGCGGCGGGAGAGTCGCACGGATGAATGTTTGAAGGACATGCTGGAAGAGGAGGCGGAGCCCAGTGACCACTCCGAGGAGCCTGGAGCCGGCAGCGGGGCGAGAACTTAACGGGGTGCCCTCTGGGGCTGGTGGGAAGGGGTCAGCCATCGCCCTTCGGCCTGGGTGGCGCGTTTGGCCGTTTCTAGCTGGGCGGTGCGCGCATCCCCGGTCCTGAAGCGCTTGGTGGGTGGCGCTCTTGGCCGCGCCGACCTGCCCGAAGGCAGAGCAGAGTCCCAGCAGGTGGGAACCTCCGCCTTGCCCGAGAGACTCGAGTGCAGTGAATCCGTCCAAGGGACTTCAGGTTTTGTTTGCCGTGTGTGCGGTTGGATTTTTGATGTCTTCGTACAACATTGTCGTGCGTCCAGGGCAATTCTGGTGGCGTCTGTGAGCCAGCGTTACTGTGTAGGTCATTTGCTTTCTGCGTCCTAATAGCTGGTACGAGAGTGAAGCTTTTTGCTTCCAAACGTGCCAAGGTGCGTGTGGGTCGTAGCATGTCGTGGTGTTTCCGACACTAACACATTGGAAATAAATTCTAATTTGATAGCATGGAATCAAGACAATTTCTTTTTCCTTTTTTTTTCCACCTTATTAAAGAAGGGAGCGGGGAGGGCAGGCGAACAGGCGTGTTTCTCCGTTTCTTTGTCTTGATTTTGGCTAGCCAGGGCGTCGAGGACAGACGCCTGAATGTGACCCCGGAGGCTGCGGACTTGCTCAGCGTCCCACAGCCCTTGACTTACCTGAGTCAATTGTTTGGACGAATTATGGGCAGTGTTTTGTGTTAGCGAAATGACTTTCAGGAGCCCTGGTGGCGCAGCAGTTAAAGCGCTTGGCTGTTCACCAAAAGAGCAGCCGTTTGAGCTCAGTGGGAGAAGCATGAGGCAGTGGGGTCTGTAAAGACTGACACCCTGGTAACTCTGCGGGGCAGTTCTCTGGCCTACAGGGTCGCTGTGACTTGGAATCGATTTGACGGCAGTGGGTTTGGCTTTGGGTTTAAATGACTCGTCCCAAATGACTACTTACTAGGAAACTCAGTTCTGAAACAGGACGCACTGGGGTGGTCTTACGCCCTCCAGTGGAGGCTTGTCTTAGCGCGCTCGGTGCTGAAGTCTTCTGGAGGCTTTGCTGAGGCCGGTGGTGGACGCCTGCGGTCTGACCGCTGTTGCTTGGTGACGTGGGGGTAGGCCCTGGCTCCCGGAGCGAATGGCGCTCGCGGCCACCTGTAATGTCTGCTGTTGCCATTCTCAGGTGTTCACTTGCAGAACTTCAAAGATCAGATTTAGAAAGTTACTGACGATAAAAGATAATGAAAATGAAAATCAAAGAGGTATTTGATCAAGGTCAGAGTGGACAGGAGGGAGCTGTGGGAACTAACTTCTAAGGCTTCTGTGTGGAAGGGCTTCCTGTGTTTCCCATAGACCTGGGAATTACGTTACTAATTGATTATATTACCTTATAATTATATTCAGGAAGTCATTAAATGTTGTAGCTATAATTAATTATCCAGGAAGGACGCAGGGCCAATGGAAGCGTGTTCACTTTTCTTTAAAGATGGGGGACCAAGGTTTGGGAAGATGGGCCGTGTCGGCCCAGGTTACGGGGCTTCGGGAGGAGCAGAGAGCTCAGGCCCCATCTCTGACGGGACGGGTTGGCTGTGGACCGTTGGTTGGAGCAGCCGCCATTCAGACGTGATCCCTGCAGGGACACAAAGTAGAGGAACGGGAAGAATTTGTGTTTGCACTAAAAGCCCCTTTCCTTTACAGAAGCAATGTGCATTTTATCTGGGAAACCCAGACACTACAGTAAGCAGGAGGATAAGAATACGAAACGCCGACAGCCCTGCAGCCCAGAGCCAGCCGCCAGGGGTTCCCTGTGCACCTACACGTACTCCATTTTTAAAAACATTGTGACTCTGCACAAGTTTGCAGAGCGAGTTGGTTTTCGGTTCAACAGTTCATAGGCATTTTGTGCCGTGGCGTTGACTGCGTCCCCGCAGTGTGACGGCTCTCTGCCCGCCTCCTCCCTGCGTTTCTGTTTCTCTTCTTCTGCTCTCCTGGGCGTCCCTACCTTCAGCACCGTATCCCTGGGCAAGTGCTGCCTCTCATCTCGTGGTTTTGGCTGATTGTTCTCAGGGTGTACCTCCCCGGTGCTGCTGTTCGCCTTACAGGTCGGCCGATCATTTGGCTGAAGGTTAAACCTCAGGGGGCGGGGGAGTTCAGTCCAGGCCTGAAGGATGACTTAAGGGCCGTAGTCTTAGGGGTTCCACTAGTCTCTGAGACCGGTAAGCCTGGCGTCTTAGGATTTGGAGTTTTGTTCCACGTTTTTCTCTCCCCGTCCAGAGCAAAGAAGAGAGAAAAAAATCAATGACACGAGGAAACAATTAGTCCAAAGGCGTAATGGACGCCAACCCCAGCCCCCACAACGCTGAGACCAGAAGACCTGCATGGTGCCGGGCTACCACTGCTCACCGGTCTGCAAAGACTCGCAATACATACTCGATTTTTAGAGATCAACGAGTGGGTTGGTAACATTCCTGATGAGACCACACGCGGCAGACCCTGAGTGCCTCCAGGGTGGGTCTCTGAGGGCTTTTCACCCAGAGACCTGCAGCAGCGTCCCTGTCATAGCCACTCGGTTGGAGGAGGATGGGAGGCCAGCTGGCAGCAGTGGGCGTTCCTTCCCACACGTGGACTTTTCAGGGGGTGACACCAGACCCAGTCAGCTGGCAGGCTGTTATTTTAATCCTTTCATCGTTTAGCTGTTTTGGTAGCGTGCTGCTTTTTTTCCCCAGCGGGACCGGAGCTTTTCTGTTTGCCAGGGCGCACTGCACGCTGGCCTTGCCGGCTGCACGTCGGGACCAGGGTGAGCCTGCTAGGACGAGGCAGCGCAGGGCTTGAAGGGACTGATGCTTGGGCAGATGGGGGAGGAAACTGTTTAGGGGAAAGAAAAGATGGAGATAATTTTTCCAAGGGAGATTCACTGAAGGGTCACTTCCACACTGGTGAGCAGTCTCAGAAGACGGGTGGCGCTCTGAATATCCCCCCCAAAAGACGAAACACTGTGGCTCTGCGAAGGAAACCCGGATGTTACGCAGGTGGAGCTGGTTACCCAGACATTTTAAGAACATTCACAAACACAGACATGACGCTTTAAGTCCTCATGACCCATCACAGTTCTGTTTGACGCCAGAGAAGATGCCCAGGGGCGAGGAGCGGTGGCGGCTTCCCTCCCAGCTCTGTTGCCTCGAGCGCCCACCTGCCTTTTCTGAGCTCGGGGCGGCCCCTGGGCAGGGGTACAGGACAAGCCACAGGTTCTGGACGCCTTGCTTCCAACCGTTTCTTCCCCTTTGTCCCGCGTCCCACTTAATTTCACTGCTGTCCACCCGGTCTTCTGGGCTGGAGGCCCTGGAGGTGTCCTGGGCGTCTGCATGCCTGACTTCCTGTTAGTCGTCAGCATGTCTCTTTTCCATCAACGTCTGTCTGTCCCTCCTCTGCAGAATCCATGGGCCTGCTCCCCTCCCCCATCCATTCTCCTGGATTCTCTCTGAAACTATCACGTTCTGAGCTTTCTAGAGCCTTGTAATTTCAGAATTTAACGTAATGTTGGTAGAGATCGTAATTTGAAAAATCTGATGATACGGAGAAGTTCTTCACCCAACCAGCTAGTCACAGTTCTTGCTATTTTGCTGTATTTGTATTTCAAAAAAGTACACAATTGGGCACAAATACGGAAATTTTATAGCTAGTTTTTTCTAAAAAGTTATCTTGCTATTGTGTCTTGCTTTGTTTTTAAACTAAATGGGATATGTAGATAGATTTGGGTGGAAGTTTACAGAGCACATTGGTTTTCCATTCAGTAGTCCATACACATTCCATTTGGGGACATTTATTGTAACACCATCCTTCCCACTTCCTGTGCCCACCTCTTCCCTTCCTCCTTCCCATCCCCTTCCACCTTCCTAGCTCTGTCCCTGGGCACATGCTGGCCTCTTGATCTCATGCGTGATTGGATTAATGAGTGCACACCCTCTTGGCGTTACTGTTCACCTTACAGGTCTGTCATGTAGCTGCCAGTTGAGTCACGGGTGAGTTCAGTTCCAGGCTTGAAGGGTGTCTCATCAGACCAGTCAGCCTGCTCTTTCCAGGGCCTCCTGTTATGAGCGCTCTCAGAGCCATCAGCTGTGGTAGCTACTCACCATCTAGTGCTTCTGGTCTCAGGGTTGTGGAGGCTGGGGCTCAAGGGCTCCGTTGGTCCTTTGGACTAATTTAAACGATATGGTATTTTGTGAGTCACTGCAAATTCTTAAAATACTTAAAAAACTTAAAATTCTTAAAATCATGATAAAAATCATGATTATTCCATGATACAAAACCACACCCACTGCCGTGGAGTGGATTTCGACCCACAGCGCCCCTAGAGGACAGAGTGGAACTGCCCAACAGGGGCAGAACTCCAAAGTTCTTAGTCTTTATGGAAGCAGACTGTTGGGTTTGGGTTTAGTTTGGGTTCCAACAGCTGACTTTTGGCTTAGCAGCTGAATGCTTTAACCCCTATGCTACTGAACAACAAAAAAACAAACCCACTACCACTGACAGTTCCGACTCACAGCAACCCCCACTGAGTTTCCGAGGCTGTAAATCTTGATGGAAGGAGACTGTCTCCTGCTCTTCTCTCACAGGGCAGCGGGTAGGTTTGAACCACCCATCTTCTGGTAGCAGCCAGAAGCCTTACCCACTGTGCCACCAGAGCGCCTTGCTACCGCCCTAGGGCTCCGTGAATGATGACAGGATGTGTACCTAAAACATTTTCTGACTACTGGGCTGTTAGGGAGACTAAACTTTTCACTAAGTAACTCTGCAACTATCTTTGAACCAGATTTTTTACATGTCTCTTAGGCCACACACAAAGTTACTATTCTAGCCCGGAGGCCCCCTGGCATGCCCTGGCAGCCGCCTCTTCCTCCTCCAGGGCCCCTGGCAATGAGGCGGGCCTGAGTGTGTCTGTGTCCGTGTGCACCCGCGCGGCCGCTGGCAGGACAGCCTGCTCAGAGTTCCCACCCTCAGGACATCCCTGTCCCGCACACAGGGTCATCACCCTGTCAGTGAGGAGTGCGTGTGCCTCTCCCTCGCCTGAGCCTCTTGGAGTCTTTTAATTAAAACAACTTTATGGAGACATAATTCACAGCCCATTTAGAGCGTACCCAAGTTATAAAACCTGCTCACGGCGTTGTGTAACCATCACTGTCCCCTAATTTTAGGACCTGTCCCCACCCCCTAAAAGAAACCGGTCCCTCTTAGTCGCGCGCCACCGCCCCCTCGTGGTCCCCATCTCCCGGTACTGAGAAGTAGGAGTCCGTCTGGGGGCCTCGGCGTGAGGACGTCGGGGTGTGGGCAGGCTGCGAGCGCGCGTGGCCTGCGCCCCGGCTGGGTGCGCGAGTTTGCAGAGTGACTGGGGCAGGAAGCAGTGTAGGGGCGATGGCGACGAGCCGCCAGGGGATGGTGCCGAGCAGGGTGGGCTTGAGGGACGCGGTGCTTCCACTGTACGGGGCGTGCGCGGCCCGGGGC